GGGAGGGGGGCAGACGAGTTTCCCTGGTGGTGCCCAGAGTGGCCACCAGGGAAAGCTGGGGAGGGTTAGCCTCCCTCTAGTTCGAATTAAGTGGCTACACAGCCCTTAATTCGAACTAGTTAATTCGAACTAGGCATTAGTCCTCGTAGAATGAGGTTTACCTAGTTCGAATTAAGCGCACTGCTAGTTCGAACTAAGTTCGAACTAGCGGTTTCTATGTGTAGCGCCTATTCAAGTTAATTCGAACTAACGTCTGTTAGTCTGAATTAACTTTGTAGTGTAGACATACCCTCAGAGACAGCAGTACGGGGTGCCAGGTGGAAGCTGGTCTGCGAGGGGAGCCAGTTTAAACCCCCACTCCCCTTGTGGACCTGTGCTGGCACCCTGTGCTGCTGCCTCTGATAAAGAGGTAGTGGTGCGGAGTGGCAGCAGCCCCGGTATAGGGAGTGGTCTGAACTTCAGGAACCAGCACAAGCCAGAACTGAGTTGGGGTGCTGGCCAGCCTGCTAAAAAATGTACTGACAAGTGGAGGGAGTATGCATATAGTCTACAGAGTTAACCTATAAGCTTATTTTATCGATTAATCAGTTAATTGACTATACTTTTACATCCGTGTTCCCCACCCCTGCTCTAGGTGATGGGTGGAGATAGAAAAAGCTGTCTAGAAGCTCTAGAATGTGGTATCACCTGCACTGGGGAGGCATGAAGACAAGTATGGTCATGGGTATGTGGCAAAGCTTCTCTAGGTGCCAGTGAACGGGGCACCAATGATGGTGATAACGGTGCCGGTGAGACGGTCGATTCTGGACCCAGAGCTGGATGGGTGTGATTTGTCTCTGCATGATACTTCTTTGGCACTGGTTGGCTAACCAGAACCGCTGGTGCTACTTAGGAAGGTCTGACAGGGTCTCTTGGTTTACTCATGCTGAAGATTTTGATGGCACCGACGTCAGGGTTATTGGTGCCACAGTAGCTTTACGGCAGTCTTCAGTTCCATAGTCTTAGCAGGCCACCTATGCATAGTGCTGGACAAACCCAGTTTATCGCAGGTGCTGATCCAGGCAGATGTAGAAACCAGCAAAGATCTAGTAGGGGAAAGCCTCCTCTGATGCCAGCTTAGGTGCTGGTGAGGTTGTCCACCATTTCTCTGCCCTGGGTGGCTTGGGACAAGCGGTAGAGTCACCCTCATAAGATGGCTGAAGAGCCTTATCGAAAAGGAACATGCAAAGTCAATGAGCCTGGGCGGTTCGCTTACTGCAGTGAGGGCATTTTTGTGGAACATGCCCCTCACCAAGAAAGCAAATGCAGGTAGAGTGCCCATTGGAAGCCAGCATGTGTTGCATTTTTTAAACCTGGGGAGCCAGGCATGGTTCACAGTATCAAGACTGTCCTCCAAGTTCATGAGAAAGCCGAATGAAATAAAGCTCCTTTCTCTCTTCAATCTTTTTTTTTGGGGGAGGGAGGGAGGGGAGAGGGGGGAAGCCACAAGCAGCTAGGCCGCGGTGGCTCCGGTTTTGTTTTTTGTTGAAACAGAATGATAACAACTAGAACTAACCTAACTAACTCTAAAAACACTTAACTATTGAAGACTAAAAGAACAACCAACCAACCAACCAAGTCAAATTTCTGAGTTAACTCGCAAATGAAGCCTGGGATTTAAATATCCCGGGCTTCATCTGCATGTTCCTGGGCACCACCATTTTAAAATCCCCCTTTGTCCGAGCTCCGTGCCCACGGCTACACGCGGCACGGAGTAGGTAGTTCGAATTAGGATCTCTAATTCGAACTACCGGTACACCTCGTCGAACCGGTAGTTCGAATTAGAGATCCTAATTCGAACTACCTACTCCATGCCGCGTGAAGCCGCGGGCACGGAGTTTGGACTAAGGGACATTTAAAAATGGTGGCACCCGGGAACACGCAAATGAAGCCCGGGATATTTAAATCCCTGTCTTCATTTTCAACCCCTGTTGCCCTCATTTGCCTACCTAGCTTGAACTAACGAGCTAGTGTAGACATACCCTTAGAGAGCCGTTCCCAGTTCCATCTGCAGCCAAGGGCATCAACGAAGGAACTGAGGAGGGGTTGGGGCGCACGCACGCAACACAAGGCACAAATGGCACCTAGCTACCACTGTGCACAACTTTGATCTGCGGTGCCAGATGGTTTCAACAAAAATACTGGACACGTTTGACATTACATCACAATCTACATTACATCTTATTTAGAAAATACCGGACATCTATATTTTCTCAATTTGTTTCCTGAACAGAAAGCTCAAATACTGGACTGTCCAGTTCAAAACCGGACACCTGGCAATCCTAGCCAAGGCGACCCGTCACCTACAGTAGAGCACCCACATACAGTGGAGCACCAACAGGAACATCACTCGAAAAAGAACATCTGCTGTAACTTAAGACAAATTAAAATCCAAAACACAAATGACAACAGTTTACAAAAAACATTCTCAGATTAAAAACATTATCTATATCATAATATAGTAATGATACATTCAATAAAAATAATGGAACCCTATTAGCAAGAGAATTGACATGTATTTTATTCACTAGGGTAGTATTTTATCCCTATTAGAATGTCCCATATTTTGCTGAACCCCAACCCTCACAGAATGAACATGGGAATTACATAAGTAGTGTTATAATGTCAGTTTGGATCTGTGCAAGAATCAACTGCCTAAATAGTATGAGAAACTCAAATAGCTTACAAAGGAAAATGAAGGAGGGATATAACTTCTTTACTGGGAACAACATTATCAACATATGGCAGGGCTATGGATATAGACTGATGGGGGAGGGAGGGGAAGAACCGAAATATAGTAGAAAAAAAAAATCATGTATACTATAGACAATGCACTGTAACCTTAACAATAGCCAGCAACATGAGCCTTCTTCCCATCTTTAATTGCCCTTCTGTATACACTGCTTTACGAAATACTTCTTCACACCCTTAGTTAATTCATATTAGCTTTCTTGGATGTTTCCTCATAGAAAACACTTATAACAAAGATATATATTTTAAGCCAATTCATACTGTACATTTTATACAGAACACAAATCAGGATTCCTAAATCAATCTTATATTTTCTATAGCGCAGATTTAATGAGCATTTTACCTCTATTTAAGTGAAAATGCCCTAGACATCCAAGTATAGATCTATTCTTTCCTTCCGAGAGCTCCTTAATCCTTTTTTACAATGTATCAACTTCAGCAACAATTTTATCCAAAGTGACAGATGAAAAAAGTTTTCTGCATTAGAGTTATCAATACAGCTCAGCTGAAGATAAAGAACAGCTCAATGATGGTCAAATATTTTACCAGACAAGAAAGATCCATTACTACTTACACTGTACAGAATATGATGCAAGGACAACAGCAGAATTAAGAGGGCATAACAACCTGAGAAAAGAAAAAACAGAGGGTGTGTATATATATTTACACAGAATAAAATATTATTTATATGTTTATATATAATAACATTTCTCAGCAAGCAATGTATTTGGTAGCTTAAAAAAGAGTGAAAGTTGCTTAAATTAACACAAAGTCAATAGTCAGCATCATAGGTTGGTAACAGCAAGTTGTTTAACTAATCATTAATAGAATGGAAATAGCTTGTCTTAAATGGATATATGTTCATTGTTGGATACTTATTCTGGAAAGTGAAAACAAAGAAAAAAGGTTTTTTGTTTCATTTTGTTTTTGTTTTTTGCTCTAGATAAAAATACTAGACCGCAGCTATAAAAATTGTAACTAGAGACATGAACATTAAAAATAGAAAGTGTAAAAATGCAGCTCTCATCTATAGTCTGCACAGAACTTGCTACCAATTTTTAAAGAGAACAGGTAATGAAGATTAGAGGCTTGGACCACATTTATTTATTTTACTTTTTCATAGATGAATAAATAAGACAAAGAGCCTTCTAACATACTTGGGGGTAGAGGAAGTGGCTCTTTCCTTCTCCCATCATGCCTCCCCAGCACATTTCCAGCTCATTCAGCCCCTCTTCCTAAAAGCCGGGCCCAAGGAGGAGTGGGATATAGACCCTTCTCATGCCTGCTGACAGTCACTACCACTCACTACCTCTGTGACATGTGGCAGCTGCCTAAGACAAAGCATGGCCAGGGAGGCTGCAGCAGCCTGTCCTCTTCCCCACCCTGTCTATACCTGGCTTCTGGGACCAGGAACCAAGCCAGCTGGAAATATGCTTGGAAGGTGGGGCGGGGGCTCTACCTTGCTTAACTCCTATCCTCACAAGACAGACCTCAGTGAGAAAAGGGGGCAAGCCACTACCACCTCCCTAGCTGGGTTCTTGCACACAGCTGTTGCACTGCACAGAGCACCAACCTGGAGTGGCAACCCTCAGCCAGCATAAGTAGTGGCTTCATGCTGCTCCTTCCACTCCCCACTTGGGCCTCACTGCCAAATGTGTGACAAGGCAGGCCCAGTGGGAAAAGGACAGAGCTCCTCTTCCTCCCCCATCAAGCATAAATCTGAGGAAGATCATTTGACCCAGCATCTCCCTACCACCCATCACCTATGACTTGAATAAGAGCACCATCTAGAGCTCAGACAAGGCAGCTTCCTCTGGCCCAGACACAAAATGACTTGCTCCTTTACCTAAACAATTAGCTTTATATTTTTAAGCAATATTCCATTAAGAGTATTTTTCACAATAGCAAAAAATCTACTCAGTTTTTTTCCTCCTTGACTTTTCTTTTTTGAAGAAAGATTACTTCATTACCTTCCTTCCAAAATATCAGTCTTCAGTTGTAAGAAGAATAAATGCCTAGAAAACAGAATTTGGAGGAGTTGATTCATGTTCACAGATCCAATTTAACTATTTTAAAGAAATTTCCATATAAAATTAAGTTATATGCATGTATTTATAAACAAATTATATGTACAAAAGTATATGCATACTTGAATATTCCTATACATCTGAAACTATGTGAATGCACACTTTCATTCACAAGTAGTAAGGTCTTTTGTAAACCACAAAATCATGGAACAGGAAGGAACCAAGAGAGCTCATCAAGTCCAATCTCCTCATGGCAGGACCTAACATCATCCACACCATCCTTGACAGGTATTTGTCTAACCTGCTCTTAAAAATCTCCAATGACAGAGATTCCACAAGCTCCGTAGGCAATTTACTCTGGTGCTTAACTTTTCTGACAGGAAGCTTTTCCTAATGTCTAGCCAAAACTTCCCTTCCTGCAATTTAAGCTCATTGCTTCTTGTCCTATCATCAGAGGTTAATGAGAATAATTTTCTCCCTCTTCCTTTTAACTACTTTTTAAGTACTTGAAAGCTGCTATCATATTCCCTCTCAATTTTCTCTTTTCAAAACTAAACAAACTCAGTTCTTTCATTCTTCCCTCATAGGTCATGTTTTCTAAACCTTTAATCATGTTAGTTGCTCTTCTATGGACTTCCTGCATATCTTTCCTGAAATGTGGCAACCAGAACTAGACAGAGTATTCCATTTGAAACCTGATCAGTAAGAGTAGACTAAAGAATTACTTCTCATGTCTTGCTTAAAATACTGCTATTAATACATCCCAGAATGATTTTTCTTTTTTGACAACAGTGTCATACCATTGATTCATTTAACTTGTGGACTACTAAGACCCCTAGATCCATTTCTGCAGTCCTCCTTCCTAGATAATAATTTTCCATTTTCTATGTGTGAAACTGATTATTCCTTCCTAAGTGGAATGTTTTGCATTTATCCTTTTTGAATTTCATTATATTAAAAAGCAAGTTCCAATCTTTAATTAGATCAAAGGGTCATTGTTAATTGATGAACGGTTTCCCTAGATTCAAGTCCTAAGAGCACTGCCTCCAAAGTACTCAATGTGCACACTTAAGACTCAGGGGACGAGAACCATAGATGAAAAATTAACTTGGTCTTATGCCTGACATCACCAGTAAAACCATTAGAAAATGAGGCTTGCCTAGTTCCCATGAAGTTTGATTGTACATCCAATCTGTTGAATCTTAAGGATGTAAGCAACTATAAGCAACTAGTCGACTATCTAATAAGCATATGCGTATTGGATAGTCAACTTGACTAGTCACTTCCCCTCACTTGTTGCTTCTATCAATCAGAGAGGTGAGGGAGGGGGAGCAGGACCCCGTGTTGGGAGCAGCTGGCTTAAAGGCTCTTGTGCGCCCTGCTTTTGAAATATACAAGGCCTGCAGGGGACTGCTTGAGCTCCCTGCAGCACTTCCACTTTTGAAATGTAGCAAGAGACAGTAGGACTCTTGCTACATTTCAAAGGCAGAGATAACCTTGTCAACTAATCGAACAGTCAATGGAAATTGCATCCACTATTCCATTTGCTGATTAATCTAAATTTAACATCCTTGCTCAATCTGTGGATCAAACACCTTCTTCATAACAATAAATTATTAGTTTCAAGCACTCATTCATGAAGTAGCTTCAATGTCCTCATATTTAAGATTAAGATTTCTGATCCTATCTCAGTTAATATATGTGAAACAATTTATTTTTATTCATACAGTCTAGTCTATGTGCATGCTATTAGACAGCTCTTTGTATGTCATATAAGCTGGTATTCATTACAATTTAAAAGGGACAACTCAGTAATGGCATCTAAAAAAGGCCTGAGTTCTGCATATGTTAGCATATTTGAAATGCAGTAACAGTTGAACTATCCTTTCTATGGGATTAAGGTGAAACTCAGTGCATGTACTGCATGTGCTCTTCCAAAAGAAAGGTCATGCAAAGTTACTATATTATCAAATATATGAAACTGAAGAATGCAAAAACATTAAGATTTATGATCTGTCAAGTCTGCTATGCTTGAAAATCATAAATGTTTCACCTGTCAATCAATAGATTCATAGATAAAATGCACGATGCACAATTCTGTATTTAACTATGGAAGCTCTACTTATAATTCCATTGTTAATTGTTAAGGATTGAGATTAAATCATGGTATTATTAATTATTTGTATCATCTTAGCATCTAGGATTACTAGTCATGGACCAGGACCCCTTTGTGAGAAGCACTGAACAGACTCAGAAGAGACACTCCCTGCCCAAAAAAGTTAGATTATAAGAGAAGAGAGAACCAATGGATGCAGACACAGTGACTTAGGAGTACAGGAAAAACAACAGAATAACATTGGCAAGCACAGGCGAGTGATCTCTGCACAAGAGCAGCCTAGTTGGCAAATTTTTAGGAGGGTTTTGAGAAAGAATAATGATGCCATTTTGGAGATCTTTACATGACACTTCTCCCACCCAGAGAGATAGCATAAGAGAAAGTATGAAGATGCCTGTTTGAAAATATGGCAAGTGGGCAATAGAAGCTGATATCATGCAACGACTGGAGACAGAAGTCATCCTGTTGATATTTAATGAGAGGTGATAAGTAGGATGGAAATAGGTCCTTGAAAGTAAAGACAACCAGCTTACATTTGACACAATAGCAAAGAAGGAGCCAGTGAAGTGATGTAAAGAAGGTTACAGTCAAAATGATGGGTTAGGAAAATGATCTTTGCAGCAACATTCTGAATGGATAACAAGGGGGCAAGACTGCATTTCTCAAGGCCAGAGAGAAGAATGATGCAGTAATGAAGACATTAGATAATGAGAGCCTGAACAAAAGTTTCAGCTGAGGCCATATCTTAGAATTGTGAAGCAGCAAGAATCTACAAAAAGTTCAAGACATAGCCTGGATGCGAGGACCTAAAGAGAAGTCTGAGTTGAACATGACACGTAGGTTCTGGGTCTGAATGAGAGGAAAAATGGTGGTGGTGTCCATAATGAACAAGAAAGCAGGTTATGAGGAGGGTTGTGGGTGCATGGAAAGCAGCCGAAATTAAAAGCTCTCTTTTGTTTAAAATTGAAAGCTCTTAACTCATTTTGTACTCAGAGTTTCTTAGAATTAATAAGTAAATCTTACTCGGAGTTAAAATAGTAATAGAAATGTAGCCGTTTTAGTCTGGTGTAGCCGAAGTAAAATGCAGGACTATGTAGCACCTTAAAGACTAACAAGATGGTTTATTAGATGATGAGCTTTCGTGGGCCAGACCCACTTCCTCAGATCAAATAGTAGTTAAATAGGAGTTAAAATAGGCTCTTTAATAAGTGTTCCACTGTGTCACAACATGTTTTTGTCCTTACTGATTTCAGTAACGAAACAAACTCTTCAAAATTTCCCATCTAGTAAAAACCTCACAGAAGTCTTGGGCGACTTAACCTCCCTTCCATTGGGAACAATGTGAGATGGGGTTTATTTTGAAGTACATTGCTCATCAATCAATGACACTGCAAGGAATTTTTATAAGAATATGTCTTAAATCAGATTAATCTAATCCAGGACTATGAAGAGAGTAGTGCACTTATAGTTGTATGGGTATTGAATGCCATCACTATAGAACTGAGTTAAGGTTGTTTGAGCACCTTCTCTATTCATTTTCAAACAACAATAGGTTTGGATTTCTTTTATATAATCTTAACTCTGAATCTCTTAGGTTTAGAACAACTAGTTTTAGAATGATTACAACATCACTTTATTGTTTTTTACCATTGAGTATACATATTCGTAATTTAATCCCTATTTCAGGTTAAACAGTTTAGAATGGGACTATTGTATAATTGTTTACTTACATAAGAAAAACTACTCCCACTTGTTCTTATTACAAATGGCTTTAATTATTTTCATTCTGGCTCAAATGTGAGCAGCTATGAATCCTAATCCTACAACATCACTTTATTGTTTTTTACCATTGAGTATACATATTCGTAATTTAATCCCTATTTCAGGTTAAACAGTTTAGAATGGGACTATTGTATAATTGTTTACTTACATAAGAAAAACTACTCCCACTTGTTCTTATTACAAATGGCTTTAATTATTTTCATTCTGGCTCAAATGTGAGCAGCTATGAATCCTAATCCTAG